CGCACCCCTGCTGTTCTCCAATCTGGCTCCGATCCATCAGCGCTTTATCCCTGGGCTCTGCTGGGACGGAGCTGCCCCATCTGCCTGGTGAGGGGACATTTGGCTGGGTGTCAATGGCCAGGGGTAGCCCACAGCGAGCACGGGAGGATGCCACAACCGTTTCGCTCCCCCCGGGGTTTTTTGCCTCTTCTCTCCCACTGCTGCCGCACATTCAGCACCGCTCTCATCGCCCTCCTCTGCTTTCGCAGCCGCTCCCCCTCGCCGCTGCAAGCCACCGAGAAGGAGAAGGAGAGTCCCACGGAGCTGGCGGAGCGGTGCCTGCGGGAGCTGCTGGGCCGAGCGGCGTACGGCAACATCAAGAACGCCATCAAACCCGTCCTCATGTAAGTCGGGCATCCCTCCTTTTTTTGGCACAGGGGAAACTGAGGCACGGGGAAGCAGCTGGCATGGGGTGAAGGCATAGGCCCCTCGGCCCGGTAAATAGGAAATAGGGATTGGATTTCAGGCTATGCTCTCAATTTTGGATGCAATGAGGACGATGGCATGGGATAAATACCTGGAAATTCACCCCAGGGAGGTGTTTGTGTCCCTGCCCTCACCTGCAACCTTTGCTCCCCGCTGTTTCTGCCTGTCCCTGGTGCTTTGCACCCCTGCAGGGTTTTGGGGACCGGCAGTGACTTTCCCCTCTGGTTCCATCTTTTCCCCAGCCACCTGGATAACCACTCGCTCTGGGAGCCGAAGGTGTTTGCCACTTGCTGCTTCAGGATCATCATGTACTCGATCCAGGTGAGGAGCTGGTGGGTGGGACGCTTGGGGACACACTTGTGTGCTTGGGAGCATCTTCATCTGCTTCCGCAACTGCACTAAATCAGAGCTGCATCCCGGTGGTGCCAGATCTGAGCTCTCCAGCCACCAAATGTGCTCCAAAACGGATGTGGTCCGGGTGTCTGACAGCATGGGCTGGGATCCCTGTGCCCCATTTTACCCCCTTGGGAGTTTGCTTCGCTTCTGGACTCGACCAAGCCCTGACTCTGCTTGGAAAACTCTTACAGTGAAAAGCAGATCGCCTCCCCCCGCTGCCGTTTCTTGTTTTTTAATCCTGTAAACTGCCTAAAACCCTTTACAGCGCTACTGGATTGAAAAAAAAATAAAAAATCCTGTTAATGCATATTTGTGGTGCGAGGTCACAATAACTCAGCGGGACCCTTTTGAAGTATTGACGTGTTTGGGAAACCCTGGCAAAAGTCAAATCCCTTCTCCCTGAAATCCCCAGGATTAATTGTCACCATTTCCTCAGATCTGTACAGCTCTTTAGATCGTTTTTTTTTCCCTCTGCAAAATTGCTCCAAGCTCTCGGTGATGTAAAACAGCCTTCATCCAGATGCCTCCTCTCATTTTTTGCATCCAGAGCTGGCTTTGGAAAGAGCCAGGGCAGGGATTTGGTGTGGCTGTCTGCAGGATTTGTCTCTGGTAGCAGTATGGGTTACAGAAACGGGATCTGACCTTGTGCATGCAGCGCCCACGCTGATGTTCCCGCTCTCTTTCCAGCCCCAGCACTCCCATCTCGTGATCCAGCAGCTCCTGGGCCACCTGGATGCCAACAGCAAGAGCGCGGCCACCGTGCGCGCGGGCATCGTGGAGGTCCTCTCGGAGGCAGCGGTGATCGCAGCCTCGGGGTCTGTTGGTAAGTGGAGACATTCACAGAATCACAGAATCGCTCGGTTGGAAAAGACCTCTGAGATCACCATGTCCAACCGTTCCTGTCTACCCCCTAACCATATCCTTAAGTACCTCGTCTACCCGCTCTTTAAACACATCCAGGGATGGTGACTCCAGGTGTTGTCGCCCCCCCCCCCGCCCAGCCCAGCCTGTGCCAGCTTCTGACGACCCTCTCAGTAAAGAACTTCCTCCTTATCTCTAACCTGAACCTCCCTTGGCACAGCTTGGTGCCGTTTCCCCTTGTTCTGTCCCCCATCCCCTGGGAGAAGAGCCCAGCACCCACCTCTCTCCAAGCTCCCTTGAGGCAGTTGGAGGTGGTGCTGAGGTCTCCCCTCAGCCTTCTCTTCTCCAGGCTAAACAAGCCCAGTTCCCTCAGCCGCTCCTCATCAGGCTTGTTCTCCAGAGCCCTCCCCATCCTTGTGGCTCTTCTCTGAACATGCTCCAGAATCTCCACATCCTTCTTCTAGTGAGGGGCCCAGAACTGAACACAGCACTCGAGGTGCGGCCTCACCAGTGCCGAGTACAGGAGGATAATCATTGATCCTCCCCATCCATCCTTTCACCCTTTTATTGCGGTGGGATGGGCTCTGGCATGCGCCCAGGTTGTTTTTCGACCTGTTTATGGGTGTTGGGATGCATAAACCACATCATCCTGGGGGAAAACTCCAGCCTCCATCTCCATGGGGATAACCACAGCGATGCTCCTCCATCTCTCCCCTCTCCCCGCCCCAGGCCCCACGGTACTGGAGGTGTTTAACACCCTCCTGAGGCAGCTGCGGCTCAGCATCGACTACGCGCTGACGGGGAGCTACGACTGCGCCGCCGGCGTCAGCACCAAGATCATCAAGGAGCACGAGGAGAGGATGTTCCAGGAGGCCGTCATTAAAACCATAGGTGAGATATCATCCCCTGCGCTGTGGGTTTCCACCTTCGGCATCTGCGGGGTTATCCGGGGTGAAACAAAGCCACCCTCATCCTAAAAGTGGCGATGGGAAATGGGATTTATCCGTTGCGGCGGGTTATCGGCAGGTGGCATTGCAACCCCAGCCATCCCTGGCCGAGCCGCCGTGTGCAGTCAGAGCCCAGTTTCTCCATGGGGATGGATGGGGATGCAGCAGCCTGAAAAAAGAAGGGGTAAAAGGCAGGGGTTGGCATCTCTCTGCCTCACCCTGCCTGGGTTTGCCGCACCTGGGAGGTGTTTTGATGGGTCTTGAATCACCCCAAAAGTAAAGCTCCGTGCGGGTACCGGATCCAGGCATGGACTCCATGGCATTGGGTGCATCTGCACGCTCTCATCGTGCTCTTGTCCCCGCAGGGTCCTTTGCCAGCACGCTGCCCACCTACCAGCAGTCTGAGGTGATGGTCTTCATCATGAACAAGGTGCCGCTGCCCTACTCGCAGCAATCCATCGAGGCTGGCAAAGCTGGGTGAGACCAGAGGCCTTCCTCCCTCCTCTTCCTCCTCCCTACCCTGCTCTCCCTGCTGCTGTCCTGTGTGAGGGTGTAAGGCTTTACAGAATCATTAAGGTTGAAGAGACCTCTCAGATCATCAAGTCCAACCTCAACCCAACCCCACCATGGCCACTAAACCATGTCCCCAAGTGCCACATCCAGGTGTTTCTTGAACCCCTCCAGGGATGGGGACTCCACCACAGCCCCTTCCAGTGTTTGAGTCTTTAAATACAGAGCTGAAAGTGCTGGGAAGCTCCTGAACCATTTCCCACCCTGAGGTGGCCTTTGGGGTCAGAGTGGGACGTGGGCACAGTATTGGAGAGTCTGAGCAATGCACGATCCTTGTTTAAAATGCTTTGCTGCAAATGTGATGACAAGGAGCATCGAGGAGGAAAGGTTTGCAGGCAGGAAAGGTTTACAGGCAGTTGAACTCTGCATTTCTTCAGGTACCTGCTGTGAGTTTCAGCTGTCAGGAGCTCGATCCGGGGGTGTCATCCAAAAACTAATCAGAAACTAAAAATAAGATTCATGGGAGTGACTTGAGATGTCTCGGGGCAGCGAGGTGGCTGCTGATGAATGGGGGCTGCAGGTGGTTTTTGAGAAGCTCGTGTTCGGCTTCATGGGACTCATCGCTGCCTCCCCGCGTTGGTGCAGCCCCTCGGAGCTGGCTGCGAGCTTTGGTTAACTCAGAGCAGGAGGTGGTATTTATACCCCACGGTGGAGGCAGAGAAGGAAGGGAAAACACCCAAACAACAGAATTGCTCAAGGAGTGTGGGAGCAGACCACGAGAGCTATTTGGAGCGAGGGTATCGGCGCTGAAACACGTAGGTAAGGAGCAAACAGATTTTCATGCTATATTTATCCTCAAAGTACGGTCAGGCTCTTCCCACTTGTCTCTGATGGGAGAGAGACTTCGCCGGCTGCTAGGAGCCACGCTCAGCTCCTCGCTCCTATGGGAGTAATTCCCAACGCCTGTGTTAATCCCACTTCACACGCTGGGAGACACAACTGGGTGCTGTTCATCCACGGCAGCTTTACTTGCTGCAGGAGCAAAATTGGGCTTAGGATGGCAGTGGCTTCTCTGTGCTGGGCTGGCCATGCCAGGCTCTTTGTCACTGTCAGCTTCTGAGCTTCTTTATCAGCTCTTGAGAGATTTTAAATCTCATTTGAGGGGACACAGGGAGCCCCTGAGGGATTTCAAGTGCCAAGTGCCGGGTCCTGCACTTGGGGCACA